TTTGGACAGGACTCGGGAGTACCTGTGTAACCCAGATTGCCAATGCCCCAGAACATTATGGTGATCAGCTTTACTTAAGGTCTCTCAGGCCCCCTTCGAAGTAGTCTAGTATAAAGAAAGGACTCCAGACTAGGAATTAGAAAACCTTAATTCTATTTCTGGTCAAATTTCCTATATGGTCAGGGGATAGAGTTTACTAGTCTCCCAGAATGATGAGAAATCCTTACAGCTAGCTCTAGTAGTCTATTCTTCTGTAAAAGTCACTAACAAATACAATTTGCCTCAGCATATACTTTTCCCCTAAACAAGGTAAACAGTCTACTTTTTTTCAACATCCAATGGCACATTATCTCACTGCCTTTTCTCAGTGTTCTTGATTTTCACTGGATACTCATCAGGTCCCCTTTAGTAGGTGTAAGGTTTCTTGATGGTATTCACCTGCATGCACAGTTCTTCCTTCTCCCCAGAGCACAACTGCTAGTCTAGCTTAGAAGAGTAAAATGTACACCCTAGCTGGTTTGGCTCAGTGGATAGAGCATCGGACTTCGGACCAAAGGGTCCCAGATTCGATTCCCATAGCAGGCTCCTCCCTGGCCTGGGCCCTGGTTGGGTGTGTGCAGAAGGCAACCAATCGATGTGTTTCTTTCACATGGATATTTCTCTCTGTCTCTCCTGCTCTCTTCCACTCACTCTAAAAATCAATGGAAAGGAGACGTGTAATACTTTTACCATTTGCAACAGCATGGATGAAACTGGAGAGCCTTATGCTAAGCGAAATAAGCCAGTCAGAGAAAGATAAATATCACATGATCTCACTCATTTGTGGACTATACTGAACAACATAAACTGATGAACAAAAACAGATCCAGAGACAGAGAAGCATCGATCAGAATGTCAAACCTCAGTGGAAAGGTAGGAGAGGGTGGGGGTGAGGGGGAGAGATCAACCAAAGGACATGTATGCATGCATATAAGCCTAACCAATGGACACAGACACCAGAGGGGTGAGGGCATGAGTGAGGGGGGTGCAGATGGGGGGTATAAGGGCACATATGTAATACCTTAATCAATAAATAAAAAATAAAATAAATTAAAAAATTAACAAAAACTTTAAACAACAAAGAATTAAAAATAAAATAAAATAAAAATCAATGGAAAAATATCCTCAGATGAGGAAAAAAAAGAGTAAAATTTACAAAATATATGGTGTCAGCTATCTTCAAGTATCTAATTCTTTTTTTAAAATATATTTTATTGATTTTTCACAGAGAGGAAAGGACAGGGGTAGAGAGTTAGAAACATAGATGAGAGAGAAACATCGATCAGCCACCTCCTGCACACCTCCCACTGGGGATGCGCCCGCAACCAAGGCACATGCCCTTGGCCGGAATCGAACCCTGGACCTTTCAGTCCACAGGCCGACGCTCTATCCACTGAGCCAAACCGGTTAGGGCAGTATCTCATTCTTGAGATAATTATCTTAAGGTTCATCTATCAGCTTTCTTATATTTATATTATTTCACAATGATTAAAAGCTACCATTGAGAATTGATATGCCAGATATTATCCAAAAGCACTCTAAGTATATATTCGCTAAATTACACAATTACAT